TTTCTCCTGAATTCCTACCCACAAATCTGTATCACACAACACTTAATTCTGTAGATCTTATTTTCTAACATATGTTTGATTCTAGAAAAAAATACTTTGCCAAAAAATTAATTTAATCTACATTGATCAAATTTCTACAGGAAATACAGAGGACAGAAGAACAGGTTAAGCAACACTATGGGAATGAAGTCAGCAAGATCCAGACTAAGGGAAACTCTACAGAGTAAACAATTTTCAATTACAAAATTGTAGGGGTAAAGGAGATGGAGGGGGAATCTGCAGACTAAAATAAAACTTAAGAGACATGAACTGTTTGAAATAGAAACCTAATATAGAATTGATTTTACAGATTATAAAATTAAAAATACAGCATTTGACATTTATGAGACCACTGGAAATTTGGACACTGCATTTTTGATATCAAGAAATTTTTGTTCATTTCTTTTCAGGTGTGACAAGTGTATTATAATAATGTATTTTTAAAGTGTCTTCATCTTTTAGAAATGAACATGGAAAATTTCAGGTGAAATGGAAAAATACATAAATTAATAAATGAAAACAACCCATAGTTCCTGTCTTACAGTGCTATGCACAACCTGGATTTTCCATTATAACAGCTTTAGGACCTAGTTTAGAACTAAGTACAAAATATAGAGAATTATGGTTGGATTCTAAGTATGACTGCATTAATTGATGCTATTTGGGTAACATGTAAAATAAGAACTCCTGAATAGACTGAACAAATCCAAACACTTTGCAGTTTTATGCTATCCCAAGCCTTCTGTTAACCACACTCCCTGAAAATCATATTGATTATTTCTCCTTCCTTGTCTCACTCATCCCATCAACTGTCCACCTATGTGGACTTGTTCTCTTTAGTAGCTCTCCCAGCTGTCTCCTTACCCCATCTACACCTGTTCAGGTCTTAAGTATTTCTGTTATCAACAGTTAGCATTACCTCCAAAACTCCTTCCTTGCTCCAATTCATCTCATGGCCTAATTTTTCTAAAGCACAGCTCTTATTTTGTCACTCCCTTGTTCAAGTTTTGATAATTTTCAACTGTAGAACAACCCAAACTACAGAATGAAAGCTATATTTTGAGATCCTCCATGATATATCTGATTCCAGTTTACCTTTACAATCATATTTCCCACTACTTCTCTTCAATTAAATCTAACTGAATTATTTTACACCTTTTGCCTAGACCTCTCTTCTAAGCTCCAACCTGTTACAGTCGCCTACCTGAATGAAATATCTTAGATGTCTCAAAACACTGTAAATTCTACTCTGCCCAAGCTGAACTCATCATACCTCCAGAATCCAGCCCAGGTGCTACTATCTTATGTGAGTCATCTTTAGCAACACTCTCTTCCTCGTCCCTATTTCAATTCTATCACCAAGTCCTGGTCCTGTAGACTTTATTTCCTAAATCTATCATTTCTTCCCACCTCCTCCATTACCTACTTTCTAAGCCCTATATCTCAGGCCCCCATCCAACCTATTCTTCATATTATAGCCAGAAATAACCTCTTAAATATTAAAAACAATCACCACTCCCCACAATTCTTCTTCCTAAAATTCAAAACGCTTTTCCTGTAGTTTGGCCCCAGTTCGCCAACTCCATCTACTCTCAAACCTGCTTCACCTTTGCTCTCTACACTCCAGCCACACTCATCTGTTTTCTGTCCTGTCATACTCTTTGGGGTCTCTCCTGGAAGGATCTTCTTTCTCCCCTTTGCTTATTTATTTATCTCCTTCCTTGAAGTCTTATTTCAAAGCATCATTTCTTTCAGAGAAAGCCCTACATAGGTCAAATTCTCTATTACCGACACTCAAGGGCACCATGTATCTCTCCTTCATGGATGCAATTTTATAACTGTATAATTATTTGATTAATATCTATTTCCCCCACTAAATTGTAAGCTCCATAAGGCAATGCATCCGTAAGAGTTCATGTCTGTTTCATTCACCATTGTATCCCCATTAGCTTTACAAACCCTTTGCTTTCCTTTCATCCTGCTTCTGTTCAGGTTATTTCCTCTTCCTAAAATGTTCAAATCCTCCCCATCTTTAAAACAATTCAGTTCAAATACAACCTCAACCTCAAACCTCTTCCAATCCCCAACTCAACTTCTCTCCTTTTACTGGAAGCTTTTTTTAAAATGTCTCTAACAGTAAGGTAGGCGCCCTGGTGGTATAGTGGTTAAGTGTTCAGCTGCTCACTGGAAGATCAGAGGTTTGAACCCACCAGATGCTCCACAGGCAGAAAGATGTGGCAGTCTGCTTCCATAAAGATTACATAGCTTAGGAAACTCTATGGGGCACTTCTACTCTGTCCTATCAGGTTGCTATGAGTTAGAATGGACTTGACAGCAATGGCTTTGGTTTGGTTTGGGTTAACAGTAAGGGAGAAGTCCTGCGGCAGTACAAACAGTTAACTGCTTGACTGGTAACCAAAAGATTTCAGCCCAGGGGCACCTTGGAAGGAAAGCCTGGCAATCTGTTTCCAAAAGGTCACAGCCTTAAAAACCCTATGGAGCACAGATCTACTCTGCAACATATTAGGTCATCACAAGTCAAAACTGAATAGACAGCACTGCTGTTGTTTTTCCTTTAACAGTAAGAAGTAATTTCTATCATGTATTACAGCTATTTATCATGTATTACAGTTATTTATGTACATTGTTTTCTCCTCTACTAGATTAAAGGCTCACCAATTTGACTGACTGACTCATTTTGATTTAATCTTCATATCCTCAAGACATTCAAGCAAAATGCCCAAAACATCTGAATGAACATGTCATTAGTGTAAGTCCACAATATCTACAGGAGCCCTGATCATGCAATGGTTAAGTGCTCAGCTGTTAACCCAAAGGTTGGCTGTTCAAACCCACCCAGCGCCTCACAGGAGAAAGCTCTAGCAATCTGCTTCCATAAAAATTATAGCCTAGCAAACCCTTAGGGCAGTAACATGGGATCGCTATGAATTGAAATAGATGACATGGCACGTAACAGTAACAACATACCAAGTATTAAAAACTTCAGAAACCTAAAATACTTCTATAAGGACATATGGGTAGTCCCCAGATTACAAACAAGTTCCTAAGTCAGAACAGTATGGTTTGTCTCTAACGTCAGTTAGTCAAATGTTTGTCTTAGTATACAGCATACAATATACCTTTCCATGCATAAAAATCATTCAAGAAACACTTCCAGATACACTAAAACAATTTTAACATAATGTTTTGATGCATGTTGCAAAGTAGTGCCCATTTGTTATTATGAACCACTGTATGTACCTCAAATTTTTAATATAATAGGCTTTATGGGATTAGTTTGTAACTCCAAGTTGTAAGTCATGAACCTGGGACAGCCTATAAATGAAATTGGTAACATAGGCTAGCTCCAAGGAGGGAAATTGGGTAGCTGAGGGACAAGGGTGAAAGGAAGACATTTTCCTGTGGATCATTCTGCACCTTGAATCATGTGACCATATTATCTAAGGAAAATAAAAAGTAAATAAAACCTATCAAACCTACATTTATCAGGCAAAACCCACTGCCATCAAGTTAATTCTGACTCATAGCAACTCCCATTGGGTTTCCAAGGATATAAGTCTTTATGGAAGTAGATTGCCTCATCCTTCTCCCGCAGAGCAGCTGTTGCATTTGAACCGCCAACCTTCTGGTTAGCAGCCAAATGCCTTCCCTGCTATGCCACCAGATCTCCTTTTTATCAAGCAAAGTAGGACAAAACTGTAATCTGTCCTCCATTATAGAGATTACAACCAGCATCCATTGAGCATCTAATATGCACAAATACTGTCCTAATAAATTAACATGTTATTTCACTTAATATAAAAAACTTAGAAGTTACAATATTTAACAGCAATGCTCCTTATTATATTAAACTAGAACCTGCTTTACTACTTAAAAAAAAAAAGAATTTTAAATCTATTTCACATGAAAATGTTTATTTTTCTGACCCCTATTAGTGTTAAAAAGGGATTTTTCCCTTTTTCAGTTATTAACATATTTTGTGTGTTTACCACATTCCAAGTCATGGACTTTATCCTTACTCACATATGCTCTTGGTGAATGCTATACTGGAGAGCTGTTATTAGTTTAACTGAGCCCAAGCCTTTTGTTTATATTGCCTGGTGAATTCTCAACCTGCTATTTGACATTTTTACTCTGGGTATAAGAAAAGGCAAGACTATGCACAAGAATCTAAGACAGGAGGAAAAAGAAGTAAAACTGGAAACATCACGTTTGATGACAAATAGAACAGAAGAGATACACCGTCAAGGTAAGAACTGTGAAAAAGTTGGCAAGAAGTAGCCAATAATAGTGGCACAAGGCAGTATTATGACATTAAGTAGTAGTGATGGGAGGATGTTCTATGACTGCCGTATCTTGAAAGTTAGCAAGATGCTTAGGAACTCAATTTTAAGCCTGAAACATAGTAGAGAGAATTAAGGAGAACTTGGGCGAAAATGAAGAAAAAATGGCTATAAATAAAGGAAACAGTGAGTGAAAGCAAAGATCTGAAAAACTAAGCTGATATTAACAGATAAATAAGGCAGCCGAAATGATTTAATAGCGTCTATTTGTAGGGCAGGAAGAAAAATGGGATGATAGTATTAAAAGGTACAACAATGGGAGTGGTCTGTCTTTAAGGAGAAACACTGTCGAAAGTAGAATGAGTAATGGAAGCCACTGATGGGAAACCATCTGGTCCTTAAAAGAGTGGATCACGGAAGTGGGGTGGGCTAAGAAAGAGAACTTAACAGTGATAGATACTATGTACAGCCATCCAAAGAGAAGAGATCTTTAGGGAGGGGGCTTGGAGGGGAGAGGTGAGGTAAGGTACTGACTGGAGACATGTAAAGGCGGGATGTGGAGGCGAGACGTCTGACTCTGACGCTTACACAAGAAGCACTGAGAGCGACCGCGAGGAGCGGGACGGGGGACAGCGGCGTGCATCGGGGCTCCCTCACCTTGGCCTTGTAGCTGGGCAGGTTGCAGAGAATGTCCGTGCGCAAAGCCTCTTCGGCCAGGCTGCGGGCACACAGGCTCCGCCACACCTCGCTGTTTTCATCGCCGTGCAGGCAGCGGTACCAGTGCTTGCATACCAGGGCGCAGCTCCGCAGTTCGGACAGCTCCAGGTAGGAAAACACCAACTCCAACACCCGGCTGGGCAGCCGGCCCCCGATCCCCGCAGCCCCAGATCCCGAGCCCGCGCCGGCGCCCGCGCTGCTACAGCAAGCGCCGCCCGAGGCTCCTCCAGCTCCCGGGGTCGGCGCCGCCATCGCCTCACCAGCCGGCCCGAAGGCCGCTGCCGCCGCCGCTTTCCCCCGTCTCTACTCTGGAGGCCAAGCCTCGCCTCGAGACTGGAGCAGATTGCTCACCGCCCCCTTCACAGCCAACCGCCCGGCACCTCCACCACTCCCGCCCCTGGTTGGGGGCGCCCACGGAGGGCCCCGCCTCACTGAGGGCAGACGCGCCGGCCGCACGGGCGTCCCCCGCCCCTCCCCCGCTCCCTAGCCTCTGGGCGGGCGCCGGAACCGCCCGACTGGCGTGGCCTCCCCGCGGCGCGCCCGTATCTCCGCCATGCTAGTTGAGGGCAAGAAGCAAGAGCGCACGCCCAGCTCTCTCGCGGTTCCTCTTGGCCCCGGATGTGACTGTTTGGCTGAGGGGCCTCGCGCCCTAAACTTGTTGGGATTGGGCGTCCGCGGGTGAGGTCATCACGAGGCGCCGAGGAGGGGAGCGGGAAGAGCAGGTATGAGGCTGGCGCTGGTGGGTTTCTGGCTGCCCTCCAGTGCCTTTTCCTCTTTTCCCTTAGTGACCTCTCGTCAGCTGTTCTAGGCCTCTTTTCCTGTGAGGTTTCCCTGCCTTAAGTTCCTGCTTCAGACATCAACTTAACGTTTGACACTTCCCTCTCCTGTTGTTGCTAGCCAAGTCCGGGCTCCGCCACCTTCGTCTTCAGTTGGAGCCTCTTTACCTTCAGCAACTGAAGCTGCCTTTTTCTGATCAGGCCCTCCTGTCTTCTACCGGTATAATCGGAACTTGTATTCTAATCTATAATCGGAAAATAAGATGACTGCATTTGCAAACTACCCAACCCCCACAGTTTTGAAAACAACGAAGTGCCGGTTAAGTTTAGGACATTCTTTTGGACAAAATGTAGTCTTTCTTAGATTCACCACTTTGTAGATGTATTAAAGCAATGTGTTTTTGTTCAATTGAGTATTCCAATAGGGTGTAATTATAGCAAGGCTATAATTACAGATGGCTTCATGGAAGGAATGTCATCATTTCATCTTACTACTTGCTCAAACCAAACCAAACCCACTGCCATGGAGTAGATTCCAACCCAAAGCGACCGCCAAAGGGTTTCCAAGGCTGTAAATGTTTGTTGTTGTTATGTGCCATCCAGTGGGACCCGACTCATAGCGACCCCTCCTTGGGTTGCCGAGGCGGTATCACTACGGAAGTAGATTGCCTAATCTTCTTTCCGAGGAGTGGCTGGTAGGTTTGAACCGCCAGCCTTCTGGTTAGCAGTCAAGTGCCTTAGGCACTATGCTACCAGAGCTCCTCGTAAATGTTTAGGGAAGTAAATTGACCCATCTACCGCCCGCTGACCTGACTAGCAGCCAAATCGTCTTACCCACTGCGCCACCAGGGCTCTTTTACAGCTTACTAGGTGGTAAGATGTACCTTTGCTTCTGGGATGGCTTATTTTAAACCTAGTGGGATGGCAAAATTGATCAATCCCCTAATTAGGGTTCCATACACTTTATTTTCATGGTCCCACTCCCACAAGAACCTCTGGTGGTGTAGTGCCTAAGGCATTTGTAAATGCTAACCAGAAGGCTGGCGGTTCAGTCCCACCAGCCACCCCTCAGGAGGAAGATTGGACAATCCACTTCCATAGAGATACCACCTGGAAAACCCAAGGAGGGGTTGCTATGAGTTGAATAGACTGGGTGGCAGTGAGGTTTTTTTACCCTTACAAGGGTGCCGTGCACCTTATTTGCAGTAGCAGCAAGCTGTCCATTCTCCCTCGGTGGGGCACAAGTACCTTATTTGCATAGTTCCACCCGATCTTTTGGTGAGAGTTCCAAGGTTATGGCTAGAAAGGCTATATAAAAGTAATTCATCATACCACACATTAGTAAGAATGAGAAGAATCTGGGTAACTGGGCTTAGAGGGAGAAAAAGACATCTGGGAAGAAAGAACCAGCAATAGGCAAACACCATATATTACAGCATAGGAAAGGCAGTTGCTCTTGTTTTTATTACAGAACAGAAATGGATTATACACAACAGTGGTTTCAGGAACAATTTCTTAGTACATTATAATTGCAAGACACTGGAGTTGACTATTAAGGGAGTTTGCAAGCCCTATTATTATATAATTACCTAACCTCATAGGGCTGTTTAGAGAATTACATAAAAAAATCTTTCTAAAAAATGCTCCCAAATTACCCCACGTTTCCCCCACCCACTCCATGATCTCATTAGGTGTTGGAAGGAAGGGATCTGTTATCTAATTAAACTCACAATAGGAGATGATTAATCACCTCACCTTCCTTTGAGAAATCTACATATGACAAGAGATGCTTGTTGATTTGATGTCTGAATGTAGGGTTGATGACACTTATTCTTACAAGTTTATTCTTAAAATTTGGAGGCTTTCAGTCCAAGTTAAAATGCCAGGCTCTAGGGGCTGGGTGAAAGCCCCTCATCCTTGGGGTCCAGCTCTGCCTCCTGCTCCCGGCCCAAGGGAGCTCGAGGCATTTCTTCACTTAGACAGCTGTTGGCTGCTGAGGCTGAGAAGCCCCAAGGTTGACAAGTAAAAAGGCACAGTCCTTATGTCACCAAACCACACGGCAGGCCATTAAGTCCATTGTAAGTCCCAAGGTCGGCAGAGCATAGCAGGCTGCTGAGCATCGACACGGCTGCATGCAGGGTCCAAGCGTGCCAAAGGCTAGAGACCATTCTCAAAAGCTTCTCCTTATATACAGAAAGCAGACCACATACCCAAAGGCAGCTACTCAGCTCCTCCTAGTAGATTCCACAATGGAGTTGATTACCAGTCTCATCATGGGAAATACTACATCCAGCTGCCCAGCCACTCAACCAGGCCTAGCCAAGTTGACATACAAACATAACCATCACATTCCTTTAAGTACAAAACCCGTTTATTTTTAAAATTGAGTTAAAACTTTCTAGAAAAGATTCCTATTAGGAAGAAAATCTGCTAAATCTTTGTTTGCCAGACAACATTTACTTAGATCCCTGTGGGTAGACTTATGATACAGAAATAGAAATACTAGACACCCTTTATCATTCTTGTCTCAGAGAAAGTTAAAATGCCAGTAAGGATACAAAATCTATATGCACATAAAACTCAGCAAATATTAAAGCTGCAGAATGCACAGCTCTTTTAGACTTTAAAGAGATTCATTATATTAAAATTAAAAGTGCACCATAGGAAAGAAATGATCAAAACCCTAAGGATTCATAACTGGGTTAAACAAAATTATTTGTAACATAAATGGCTTTTTCAATATTATATTCAATATTACATATTTCAATATTATATTCAACATTCATATTTTAAGGTAAGATAAATGAGTAGTTACCACAGATGACAGTTCCTAAGCATACATAATAATATCACTGCCTTTCATTTAAGCATCCTTTTTCCTTTGTGTATCTGGAGCATTTGGTAAGAATCTGTGCTATTTCAGAAAATTATTTACTATTTCAGTACTTGTCAGCAAAAAATCAAACTACTAGTGTTCCCTGTCTTTACCTTCCTCTGAGTCATTTCCTTTTCCAGCCTCTCCTTTAAGTCTTATTTACTTCAGTCTCTATTTAGTTTTCTCTGTATGTTAATTGTGTATTTCTGCTAAAATAAAATATATTTTGTTTTCCCATTTTGTTGTCTTTCTGAAAATTACTTGATTTGATTTTGTGACCTTGTTTCTGTTACCTTGATTACGAATAGAGTAGTGGATTTTTGCAGTATGATGATAGAAAATTTTTTGGTATGACTAAAAGTGGGAGGAAAGAACAACTTTGTCTTGGGAATGGAAATGTTAAGCAGATTTCCCAATTATTTTAAGTGTTTTTTAATGAGTATTAGGAAAGTTTTCTCAGTACCATCTAAACTTAAGCATTTTATCTGAAAATAGTAAAGTAGCTATGGCAGCTTTTCACTAGCTAACTTCTCCTTTGGCTTGTGAAATTAGAAATTAATCTGTCCAGATAGACTTGTTTACTTCCTTTCTTCTGACCATGAGAATTGGATAAATTGTCCTGATTTCTTTTTTGCCTTGCCTAAAGGCAGTTGAGGCAGGGTAATAATATGTGACAATTCTTTGTTATGAGATGCCTAGGGGATCAGGTCATGTAAGTGCTACTGTTGTGTAAGTGCAGGTAAATGATAATGTGATTAAAATAAATGGAGACATTTAAAAGCAGTATAGAATTAGTAGCTTTTGGTCAATTTTCTGTACTCTGAAAAAATAACCCATTTCCTTCAAGTCAATTCTGACTCATAGTAACCCTACAGGACAGAGTAGAACTGCCCAAAGAGGTTTCCAAGGCTGTAATCTTTTCAGACAAAAGCAGATTGTCTCTTGTTTCTTCTGAGGAGCAGCAGATGGCTTCGAATCTGTGACTTTGTGGTTAGCAGCCAAGTGCTTAACCACTGTGCCACCAGGGCTCCTTTCTCAAACAATAGTAACAAGAAAAACTGTTACCAAGTAGAGCTGTTAGAAAATGGTCTTTATTATTGAAAAGTTTGGGATTCTTCTATATTGCATCCCATGGACAAATCCTAAGGGCCAAATCTTTGGGAAAATTATTTTAACCATTCTGTGATTTAGTTTTATTATTTATAAAATGAAATAATGCCAACCAGAAGGGTAGTTTTGAGAGTAAAATTAGGTCACTGAACTAGTTTCTGGTGTCTGCATTTTTAACCAGTTTCCCAAATGACTATTGTTATAGTACAAGTTCTCCAAATTTTTTTTTTTTTTGGGGGGGTGAAGATTTGCAGAGCAAATTCACTTTCCATACAGCAGTTCACATATACTTTGTCTCATGTCATTGACCACAGTTTACCACAATGCAACAGCTCCCACTTCCTCCCCATAGTTACCTCTTCCCAGTGTCCATCCCTCCAGGTTCTCAAATTATTTAATTAATTTTTCATTTCAGTGTTACCAGGTGGGGTTGTTAAAACATTGCTGGTCCCAGATTCCTAGATGATCCTGATCCTTACTAGTCTGGGACCACACTTTGAGAGCCACTGGTGTGGTGTACAAAGTACCAACTTAATCAGCTTAATAAAAAGTAGAAAAAGTCATAATGGTAACATTTGTTGAGCACTCATTATGTACCGGACACTATTACATGAGCTTTACATATTTAATCTCAATGAGCCTATGAAATAAATGCTATTATTACCCCTAATGGAAGGAATGGAGACATTATTTTTATCCCTGTTTTATAGAGATTTGGTAACTTGTCAAAGTCACCCAGATAATCGGTGATAGGAGCCATGGCTAACTTAGACAGTGTGGCTTTGGAGCTTGCTCTCCAAAACATTATTCACATGAAAGGTGTAACCTGATGATTATGCAGCCTCTCCATAAAAAATTTTTCTTAATTTTAAATAAGTACATTCAGTGTTTATTCTTATGTGAGTGTCATATTAAAGACTGGAGGGCCTAGCTTACCTGGGTCCCCAGTGGCCAAGGAAGTCCACTCAAGCATGTGCCCACCAGTGTACCACAACTCTGTGTTCAAAGACACTGTTATAGACTTGACCTTTAGATGTCTTTGATTATTATTTTTGATTAAATTTTAGATGTCTTTTAAAAATATTTAAGTGAAATATTACTTATTTCATTTTTCTCCTACCATCAAGTTCTTGTATGAAACACACGATTATAGGGTTTTTTTTCCCTCCCGTTTTACAGAGTCTCCTGGGCCATGATGGCCGTCAAATGGACTGGTGGACATTCATCTCCTATTCTGTGCCTGAATGCAAGTAAGGAAGGGCTAGTTGCTTCTGGGGCGGAAGGTGGAGATCTCATGGCCTGGAGTGAAGATGGGACTCCGTTAGGACACATGCAGTTCGAAGGAGCTGATGATGTTACCAGTGTTTCATTCTCCAACATTTGCCCTACCAAGCTTTATGCTGCACATGGAGAAACCATTAGCATATTGGATGTCCGGTTGTTCAAAGGTTCCCTAGACCATTTCCATGTAAATGAAGAAGAAATCAATTGTCTCTCATTGAATGAAACTGAAAACCTGCTGGCTTCTGCTGATGACTCTGGGGCAATCAAAATCCTAGACTTGGAAAATAAGAAAGTTATCAGATCCCTGAAGAGACATTCCAATATCTGTTCTTCTGTAGCTTTTCGGCCTCAAAGACCTCAGAGCCTGGTGTCATGTGGACTGGATATGCAGGTGATGCTTTTGGAGAGAGTATTTGGGTAGTTTCTAAATAGGATTTGTTAACAGAATCAAATTACTGATCTGGCTAAAAATATCTTTGTATTTTCTGTCCTGTACTAATGTGTCTCACCCATTTATGAACCATAAGCTTTACTTCTAATGCATATTTAATGCTAGCCTAACAGAACCTAGTAGATTTTATTCACAATGTAATCATCATTCCTTTAGTCTTCCTTTATCTGTGTGTTAAGATCTTCCTAAAACCTGAGAATTCAGATATTGGTTCTAAACACTCTAAGTAAACAAAAGGGAGTGCAGAAGGCAGAGTTTAGAGTTTACCCACTTACTCACTACACACTTTGTTGTATAAAATAAGTTGGAGGGACTGGGTGTGTTATTTTACTTCAAAATTCTTATATGTGCTAATGGAAATGTTTTGTCTTAGTGACTAGGAACATCCATTAATTAGCCCAAATCCAGAGGAAGGCCATCAGCAGAGTATGTATCTAGAAACCCCATTATGTGGGGTACTGAAGGTCTTTAATTCTTGGTTTTCACAGTAGAGGGTGGAGAATGGAATATACTGGTCTACATAGCAGAAGTCACAGGGGAACCGATTTTGGTTTAATAAAAAGAGAGCTTCAAATAGCTCAATCTTTCCAACAGTGAGATGTACTTGCTCTTGAGAGAGTAAATCTCAGCAGTAAGAATAACTGTGACTTCTGTTTGTTGAGCATCTAGTAACTTACCAGTGCTTTATATATGTTACTTTAATGGTGTTCATACCTGCTACATAGTTACTCTGTTTTTGCAAATGATGAAACATCGAAATTCAGTACCCACAGAACTGGCAAAACTGGGATTCAAACCCAGTTGAAGTCTCTCTGGCTTCAAAGCCTATGTTTTTTCTTGTGTAAACCAAAGAATGTCATCAATAATGTGGTAGGACAGGTTCTGGATTTTGAAACAGGTGACTTCTAGAAAGAGAACTATTATTTATTAATGACCTGTATGTCCAGAACTGTGCTAGGCATTCAGTCTATGTTCTTAATTATGTACAGTTTCTTCTAAGACTCTGTGATTCTGTTCATAATATCAAAGTTTCTCTTTTCACCTTCTTGGCCAATGGCCTTTCCTATCCCCTCCTATACCTTCTTCCCTCACTGTAATTTGGAAATAGATGGGGTGGTTTTTGTTGTCAAAATTATTGTATCCTCCTCCTCCTCCCCATCTAATAGTATGTAGTGGGCAGAATCAGTGGGTGGTAATCTTCCTGAAGTGCCAGGACAATCCTAGAACAACAAAGAATTGTCCCACCAAAATGTCTATAATACTTCTGTTAGGAATCTCTCTACCCTCATGGAGCACAGTAACCCTAGGATCTCTAAGCTCCTTTTTCACTCTTAGGTCTTGACCAAGCATAAACCTCCTGCATTCTCCACCGTAGTGGTGATATCTGCCTACATGGTTGTACAGAAACACTCAAGTAGGTGGATGTCTGTTTTAAGTAGGCGGTTTGTACAGTGTATCTTTAACTAGTCCTTCTTTCATCCTTCAGCTATACCAGTTTTTAGTCACTGGGTCATAAATTAACCACTAGGCATGCTAGACATTTAAGTATGCAAAAAAGTGATCTGTATTCTTCAGATTAGATAAGGAGTGGGCATTCTGAATTTGACGTTTTGCCTCCAGTTCTACTTGAAAGGTTTTAGTAGCGGACAGCTAGAGAACAACCTAGGAAATTTTTGTAAAAGGAACTGTTTTAAAACTATTTTCTGCTTTGAATTTTTTTTGTTGAAACCATGGATTTTTCAGTAATGGAAGACATTTTGAATAAAATGAAAAAAAATTTTTTTGAGGTAATAATGGATTTTGTTACCATTAGTGAGAACCATATGTCCTCAGAGGTCTCTGGTTGGTGTAATGAGGCCTCTTTCTTCAGGTTCACACAATTATACAGTCTCCCACCAGATGGCAGCATGCACTAAAATTGGGATACACAGTTCCCACTAAACCTCCACAGGCAGAAAATGTAGATGGGTACTATGTGTCCTGGGAGCTCTGGTAGTGTAGTACCGAAGGCATTTGACTGCTAACCAGAGGGCTGGTGGTTCAAACCCACCAGCCACTCCTTAGAATGAAGGTTGGGCAATCTACTTCCGTAGTGATACCGCCTCGGAAACCCAAGGAGGGGTTGCTATGAGTCGGGTCCGATTCAAGGGCACATAAGAACAACAACAATATATGTCCAAGTTGTGAAAGGTGATATTTGACTGCCCAAATTGCTAGAAGTTTGCTGTAGATTGTGTTCTGCACTTTTAAGAATAGCCAGCCTGTGGGGGAGCCAAAGAATATAGCCATGATAGTGAAAAGAAGTTCTTACCGGGTTAATTTTGAGAGTTTTTGTCTCTCCAAGCAAACACATTTTATCTCAAGCCAAGAATTCAATTACTGCCATATTCAACACACCCATTTTTGTTATTATAGAAATTAAAAAATTATGTCTTCTGATTTGTTCTTTGCTGTCATGATGTGAGCACCTGACTCATGGTGACCACGTGCACAACAGAATGAAATGCTGCCTGGTCCTGCACCATCTCCATTACTGGTTGCAGACGGGACCATTGTTATCCATGGAATTTTCCTTGGCTGATTTTCAAAAGCAGATTGTCAGGCTTTACTTCCTAGTCCATCTTAGTCTGGAAGCTCAACTGAAACTTGTTCAGCATCATAAAAGTCAGCACTAACAGACAGGTAGTGGGTCTGCATGAGGTGCATTGGCTAGAATTGAATCTAGATTTCCCACATAGAAAGAGAGAATGCGACCCTACCATTGAACCACCACTACCTCAATACATCCTTTGACTTGTTACTGTTGTTAGGTGCCATCAAGTTGGCTTTGACTTGTAGCGACCCTATATACAACAGAACAGAATACTGCCCAGTCATGCACCATACTCACAACCTTGTTATGAGCCTGTCGTTGCAGCCACTGTGTCAATCCATCTTGTTGAAGGTCGTCTTCTTTTTTGCAGACCCTCAACTTTACCAGGCATGATATCCTTCTTCAGGGAATGATCCCTTCTGACAATATGAGCACAGTAGGTGAGATGAAGTCTGGCCATTCTTGCTTAAAGGAGCATTCCAGCTGCACTTTTTCTAGGACAGATTTGTTCTTCTGGCAGTCCATGGTGCTTTCGGTATTCTTTGCTAACACCACAACTCAAAAGCATCAACTCTTCTTCATTCTTCCTTATTCATTGTCCACCTTCGACATGCATATGAAGCTCTTGAAAATACCATGGCTTGTGTTAGGTGCACCTTAGTCTTCAAGGAGACGTCTTTGCTCTTTAGCACTTTAAACAGGTCTTTTGCAACAGATTTGTCCAGTGCAATAAGATGTCTGACTGCTGCTTCCGTGTTGATTGTGGATCAAAGTAATATGAAATCTTTGGCAATTTCAATCTTTTGTCCATTTATCATGATGCTGCTTATTGGTCCAGTTGTGAGAATTTTTGTTTCCTTTATGGTGAGGTGTAATCCATACTGCAGATGGTAGTCTTTAATCTTCATCAGTAAGGGCTTCAAGTCATCTTCACTTTGAACAGGCAAGGTTGTGTCCTGTGCATATTGCAGGTTGTTACTGAGTCTTTTATAATCCCAATGACATGTTCTGCTTCGTATGAAGAAGTCTAGCTTCTTGGATTATCTGCTCTGCATATAAATTAAGTATGGTGAAAGGGTACAACCCTGACACAGATTTTACCTGATCTTAAACCATGCAGTATTCCCATGTTCTGTTCAAATGACAGCCTCCTGGTCTTTGTATAGGTTCCTCATGA